ATTGGGAAGACAAACAGCCTCATACAACAGAAGAAAAAAACAAAGTCTGAGTTTGGAACCTGAGGAACTGAATCAAAATCCTGACTCTTTTAATAATGTAGACCCCTCCCCCAAACCATTTTGAACCCCTAAACCTGAGAAAGGTCTAAAACCTGGATTGGCAAATCAGGAGAGACATTTCAGTCTTCTCTGAGTTCAACCTACCACAATGCTTTTCTTTGTTCTCTGAGTGAACTCAAAATGCCCCTTCCTGTGTTAGTAACTACAGGACCAGATGACGCCGACCAGCATTCTTCTGTCTATGACCACTAAGGTGCCTTGACCCAGACACTACCTTGAATAATGGGACTTTTCTTGTCTTGGTATTTTATGGACATATGCTAAGTTATGCCATGTTAATGGTAAAAGAAACACAGATATCCTGGATCTATAATTTCAATTGGCACTTTGACATTCTTCTATCTTGTATTTACAACCTATTCACTTACGAAATTCCTTTCTCATATCACGGTTAAACATTTGGAGACCATAATTTTGGCTGACATAGGCATCCTGAGCCAGGAAGGGAGGGAAGGGTGAGAGGGAATTGCTCTGAACTTACAAAAATCCTCTGTCTGTCCATCTTTGGGTTCATTGTCTCATGATGAGCTCCCATGCATATCTCCATATGTATGTTTTGCAAGCTTTGAGAGAAATAAACACTCATATTCAGACTGATTTTGTTTGTCTTCCTAAGAATGAACTCAGTGATGGTTGACACTTACTACTTGGTTTGACCTTTGCCAAGGCACTTAGCTTCTCTGGCCTCAATTTTCCCATCTGAAAAATGAGAGAGCTTTCTAGCTGTCTCTGCACTTTGCCTCTCCTCCTTCAGCTGCCTTTCCCCTTTCTCTAGACATCTCAAACCCCATACATCTGAAACAGAATTCATTATCTCCCCCCAGCCCCAGAACCTCCCCATTTCCCACCTTCACTATTACTGTCAAGGGCACCTCCATTGTCCTGGTCACCCAGGTTCACAAGCTCGGCGTCCTGCTGGACTCCTCACCCCGAATATACAATCCATTGCCTTATTTGTACCTTTGCAATCTCTCTCCTACATGTCCCCTTCTCTTCAACCACACAGCCACCAGCTTAGTTACCCATCACTGTACCCTTAGGCTATTACAAAAGGATTTTAATTTGATTTCCCAGTCTCATCTTTTCCCACTCCAATCCATCTTCCATTCAGCTACTAGGTGACTTTTTTTTGTTTGTTTTTTAGGCAATTGGGGTTACGTGACTTGCCCAGGGTCACACGGCTAGTAAGTGTCAAGTGTTTGGTCTGAGGCCGGATTTGAACTCAGGTCCTCCTGACTTCAGGGCCAGTGCTCTATCCACTGTGCCACCTAGCTGCCCCTAGGTGACTTTTATAAGGCACAGGTCTGATCCTGTGTACTACAAACTGTAATGAGTCCCCATTGACTCAAAGATAAATGGCAAAGTTGTGAAGGCTCTTTCCCTACATTATTTGGGGTTTCAACCTTCCCCTTCCACAAATGCCCTCCTACCTTTACCTTCCCTCTTATTCCTCCATCTCCACCTTGTCAACAGAGAGAGCACAAAGCATGCTGGGACCTAGGCTGGCAATCCTCTTTTGTGCTCACTCATTCTTCGTACTGTCTTCCCAATGGGCTGGAGAGGGACTCACATCTTTCTTCTCCCTGTATGAAAGGGATGGCGTAGGGAGTCAAAAGAATAGGTCACCCCTCCTCCATGGGGTTGTTTCTTTCTTTGTAAAATGAGATTAGAGTAGATGGTCTCCAAGGCCCCTTCTTGCTCTGACATTTTGTGTTCAGAGTCCTTCTGACAGGGCTTGGATTGGATGCCTTGAACAGTGGCTTAAGTCAATAAAGACCTTGGGAATTCTACTTCTTCCCAGGGTGCAAAAAGCGGGGAGGCTAACCACAGGTCAGGATGGGAAGGGCTAGGGCCGAGAGAAGTGGATTTTCTCCTACAACAGGGAAATTAAGGATCTTTTGATAAGTTATTTAGTCTCTCAGTGAGGATATTCTCAGTTCTTCAATACTGTCCCTTATCCATGAACCATGATTTGGTGACCAGCTTTGCCACTCAAGCTTTAGATATGGAGCTTGGGTGGGTGGATGCGGGAGGGTGTCTTCCTTTCCTACCTAATGCCAGCTCCACAATGAATACACATAGTGACTAGTATCCAAATCATAGCCAAACAGAAATCAGAGATGGTATACAGAGGAAACCATATGCCAGACAATAGAAGGAGAGAGCTTTCCCATTGGGAGCAACATAACTCAGCTCAATCCAGAGAGAGTGTTTTGGTTCTCGTCCAAGGGGAAATTCCCCAAAATCTCTATTAGAAAGCTCAGAATAGGGACATGATGGAGATTGACTGCTCTTCTCATGTCCTGCCAGAATCTGTTCCTTTAGAAACCTAAAGCAGTGTCAGCTTTTTCTTTCTTTTCTCTTGAAACTGGAAGCCAATTACAATTCCACCTTCTGCTCAAATGAGAGTGTTGCTCTGAGAGTCCTAAAGGGCACGGGCTGAAAACTCCACCTCATCTCTCGTCCTTCATCTCTACCAATAAGGAGAGTCCCATGCCAATGTACTTTGGGGAAGGGCTTATACCACTAACTTGCTGAATTACCTTGAATAAATTCTTCCCAGTCTCTCAATTTCCACATCTGTAAAAAAAATGAGTTAGAACAGATGACTTCTAAGGTCCTTTCCAGCTCTTATGTCCTATGATTCTAAAATAGACTCTATATAATAAAGCTGGTTTGGACTCCTACTTTTGCCATTTAGAAATCATTTAACTTTTTTTTTTTTTAGGCAACTGGGGCTAAGTGACTTGCCCAGGGTCACCCAGCTAGTAATTGTCTGAGGTCTGATTTGAACTCAGGTCCTCCTGACTCCAAGGCTGGTGATCTATCCACTTCACCACCTGGCTGCCCTTTAATTTTCCTGATTCTTGTTGTCCTCATCTGCAAAATGAGAAGATTGCTCTAGAATAATCTTTGATTTTTCTTTTTCCTCTCTAGAACTACATTTTGAATCTTGTTTCTGCTGCGGTCTAACCTTAGGCAAGTCACTTAACACCCTCAAACCTCAGTTTCCTCTTTTATAAAATGAGGAGGGTTGTTCCAGATGGCTTCTGAGGTCTCTTACCTCTGGAATTAAACATAAAACCCTCTGGCATTTAAAGCCCTTTTTAACCTGCCCCACTCCTACCTTTCCAGTCTTCGTCCACCTTTCTCTCCTCCATATTCTCTATGATGAAGACACATTGGACTCCCAAATACAGGCATTTTCACGGGCTGCTCCCCATGCCTGGAACACTCTCCTTCCTTCTTTCTGGTTTCCTTCGAGTCTCAGCTAAAACCCCACTTTTAGAACAAAACTGTTCCTTGTCCCTCTAAACACTAATGCCTTCCCTCTGTCTATTATCTTTAAGTTACCTTGTGTATATCTTGTTTGTATGTAGTATGTTCTCTCCTCCATTAGAATGTGAATTCCTCAAGGCAAGGGACTAATCCTGTGTTTCTATGAAACCTCGGGATTTAGCACAGAGCCTAGCACACAGTAGGCACTTAATAAATGCTTATTGACTTGCTGCTTGTTGTATGATCTTTTGAATCTTGTCTTTGGTACTGCGTGACCTGTGACAAGTCTGAGCCTCCCAGGGTCTTCTTTTCTTCTCTTCTCTTTTCTTTTTTTGTAAAATGAAGAGGCTGATCCGGATGTCTTTTGAGGTCCCTTCCAGCTCTAGATATGATTTTGCTGTTGTTTTTTAATTAAGTAATTAATTAATTTTTTTTAGGCAATAGGCGTTAAGTGACTTGCCCAGGGTCACTCGGCTACTAAGTGTCAAGTGTTTGGTCTGAGGCCGGATTTGAACTCAGGTCCTCCTGACTTCAGGGCTGGTGCTCTATCCGCTGAGCCACCTTGCTGCCCCTAGATATGATTTTCTGTTACTGTGTGATCTTCCACAGTCACTTAACTTCCCTTGGCCTCAATTTCCTCCTATGGTCTGGATGGTGTCTGAGGTTCCTTCCAGTTCTGGATCCAGGAAGCTTTAGATCCTCTCTCTGCTACTGTGTGACCTTGCTCTGGTCACCCCTTGGGTCTCAGTTTCCTCTTCTGGAAAATGAGGGATGGCCTGCCCCTTTTGGCTCTGGTCTGTCTCCACTAGCCTAGGAGCCGCAGCCCACGTGGCTCACACGTGCGCATTCCAGGCTCTCAGAACATTCTCTGACAAGTTCCAGTTGCTCCGCCCCTTGCCACGCCTCTCTCCCCCGCCCCTGCCAGATCTCTAGTGACGTCATCATCGCGGAGACCGCAGCTGTCGAAGGACCCCGGGCGGCCCGCCGGGAGGGCGGAGGCCGAGGCGAGGCGGGGGCCTCTCGTGCCGGTGTCGCGCAGCCGGGAGGGTCCCGTGGGCGCCTGCTCCGCGTCCCCGCGGCTCGGGGCGGGCTCGGAAAATTCTGGCGCCGGGGCGGCGGGCG